CGATGTTTCTATATTGTTATTTGCAAGGTTGTGTTCTTTTAGAAATTGCTATGGGATTTGGGACTGGAGGTAATCTCGGGTCTAGGGTGGTTTCTGTTCTATATTTATGTCTTTAGTCTTCTCGCTCACACTTCTGCGTTCAATTGTACCTAGCACAGTTAAACAGAACTAAAAATTATAATTTATAGTTTTATTTGTGTACTTAGTTCTATCCGAAAGGTACCGTTTTACATCAAATATATAGATTTTCGTAGGAACGAACCTGCAGCTTTCACAGTAATAATTGGTCTAGTTTTTTTAGTATTGGTTTTGATACTAGTATACTGAAACTGTTGGAACATTTATTTCATTACAAACAAAAATTGTCAATAAGCTTTTAATTATTTGTATCAACTCGTTTGCTTTTATACATTCTTTCTGAATGTTTTCAGAATATATGATGTCGCAAACTAATTTGTACATTGTTATGGAATGTTGATACCATTTTAAACCTTATATTAACATGTATATAATCTTTTAAACTAATTCAGTTATACTTACACGTACAGAAAAATACAGCAAATTCCAAAACACTCATTTTTACTTTTATAACATGAGATCGTTGTGTATGAAGGAACAATTTCGACGAAGATGTAGTGATACTGATTAGAACAGACGTCTAGTCTGCAATTAATGTGGGTAACGCCTTTCTGACACCCTGCGTCCCCAGTAAATGGCTATCCTTCACCTGTAACTGTGATTAGTGGTAGGAGAGGACCTGTGAGAAAGGGTCTTAGGTTGGCAGTATTTTGTTTCGTTTTGGTTATTTTAGAAACGATTCAAACACTTAGTGAACTCTAGCAAATGTTTTGTTGATCTTCTTTTGGATTTATCAGGTGGAAAATATGTAACTGATTCATGTATTAATGTTTTATGGAACTTGTTGACTATATGGTTATGTTTTGTGTAGGTTGTTTGTAAAAGCATAGCATTGAGAGCTATAGACATTCTTCAAAAGTTCAGGACGATAAATGCTTTATGGCTACCATAGCACTGTTAAGGCATAAACTCTGAGCTGTTGTGAAGTTTTACCCAATTATGTATTGAGGATGATTATAGAAAGAGTGAAATGCCTTTTATGGCTTTATTATTAATTAAAACTAACTTATGTATACAGAATCTCTCAATCATGCATTTTCCTATTAATACTGCCTCAGAGTAATAAAACAAAAATACTGCGTATCTCGAAGCACACAATAAATAATCTACCTTATCATCCTTATGGATCAGTTGAAGATGATTTTAAAATAAAATCTATACGTCTCATCTATGGAGCATTTTGCTGTTCATTAATTTTGTATTGGTTGTTTATTAGTTGTTTATTATTTGACTACATTGAAAACCTATACAAACCATTCCAAAATAAGATAGAAATAGTCAGAATTCATTAGCGAACTCAAACTAATATTTAATGTTTGTATTAGTACTGTTTCAAATTTGATAATAATGTGAAAATTCGACTTGCTTCTAATGCTTCTAGCTACTCTTTTCTCATATGTCAACATTAGTATACTTATGATGACTTTGTAAATATTGGCAATTTGTTGTTACTAATTTCTAATGATCATGTTGATTGCTAAAATAACCTCCTTATGAAAAAATTGGCCTGACTGCCATATTAATTCAGAACGTTTTGTTGTTTAGTATTAATTACAATCAAACCAAGACATCTTAAGCTTCTTGGAATCCCCGACGTTTGAAATTATTAACAACTACCTGTACCCGCGGGCTTTGCCCCGTTTAACTTCATAAGTATTCGCATGGCTCATTCACGTCCTGGTTGAAGTTCGTTCGCTACGCTCACTCACCTTTTGGTTGGAAATTAGCTGTTGTCATAAATAAAAAAATAATAATAATGCTGCACCCTGTTGGTAATCCTTGTAACTTTTATGCTATTGAACATCATAGAACAGAACCAACTTGTTTAATTGAAACCGCTGTTAAGATTAATTAGTTCCTTTTAAATATGAAAAATCATAAGGTTAACATAGGGAACTACAGAGCCACTGGGGCGGAGCCCGAAAGGATGTTTGAGATAAGAATATGCTTTAATGTTAATCGGGAATGTGAGCTATTATCATACCAAATTTCAGCCCATTCCGTCCAGTAGTTTATGCGTGATTGAGCAACACACACACACAAACACACACACAAACTCACAAACTTTCAGATTTATAATATTAGTAAGACAACACGTTATTATTAATCGTCATAGCGACCGCGTGTGTTATAAATAGCCTAGCTAGTATGGAAGCAGCCGTGTGATGTAGTATCCTAGGTCAGGGGTGAAATACGACCCCTACAACACGCATACATTGTCATTAATTAAATACAGGACACGCCAGCGTGTGGCCGACCCACCCTCATACATCGTACTGTACTGTCTACTATATCTTGCATACTCATCACCACTATGTCATTTAGAATATGCGAAGTGTATTAAAATTACATTATGAACTAATTTGTATTAGTCAAACTCATATTATAATAGAGAAACATACTAAAAATGTTTTGTAACTTAGAGTGTTGTTATTTTATGATTTATCGATGTTATCTGTGTGTACATGTTCTATGTTGCTTGTATATTTAAAATAATGTAACGTACCTATACATCAATAATTCAAAGTGAAACCAGAAATAATATGGAGAACAGATTGGGGATTAGCATGTAGGCCTACATATGCACTAAAAGCATCTAAATTCGTAATATCACTGCAAGTGAAAACTATCTCGTAAACCTTTATCTCCCCAACTTAACTATATTCTATCTTTTTAATACGATTGAAAAGGTCCTTGGTAAGAAAGGTTAAAATGGGTTAGGTGGAGGTTATAAAGACTTAGGATGGGTATAAGTTAGGTTACGCTCCTTACTTTGTAAGGTTAGGTTGGAGATGGGTTGGAGCTTGTGAAGTAGATACAGCCGACGTCCATGAACATTGGATAGGTGTTACGATAGGTTAGGTTAGTTAAATTTTAATTGAGTTGTATTTTCTTTTTATATTTTCTAGAGAAAGTTGCTTTGTAAACAACTGGATATCAGGTAAAAGCTTAGACTAGCTTGCAACCGTGCTTTACAACGGGAAGAGGACGCGAAATAGAAACCTTTTTGATCTTTACATCTGTTGTATAAAATACTTACACATCCACCAACGTTTTGAGAAAACGTAAAATTAATTGGACCACTTAGTTTGATAAACGTTTATGGCTTTTAAATAAGATAAGTAGTGAAAATTGCCATTTTTGTTTGGATTAATTTTACATCTTACCAAATTTTACAATGTCATTTGCATATACTTGATTCACATTCATCTCCCTAATTTACTTATCTTTTGTATTCATTTTTGACATTTTGAATTTCAATCTTAATATCGTTATAATAAAGTTTCTAAGTTTAACTGTTTAATTTAAATAAACAAAAATTGTTATAGGTACATCGACCTCCTTTAGATCAAATCGCAAAATCCTTCAAACTTCATTTTTAACTTACAATAAATAATTTAAATACAAAAACATCAGCTGTTATAAAGACATATTGTTGTGCTTTATCAATTGGGCTTTGAAATTTATTAAAGAAACGATATCTATACTATATAAAGTTGGAAATTATAAATTTAACACGCATGAGTAACAATGCCAAGTAGATTTCCTTTACAATAAATAAAACATTAATCTTAGTATCTTTTAACAAATTAAATTGAGTATTGAAGAATACATGGAAACCAAAACATCGAGCACTGAACAAATTAATTGTAAAAATATTTTTAATTACACCTCTTATTCTGCACTACAAAAACATTAACCTACAACATAACATTAACTAACAGCATAACATTAAATAACAGCATAACATACTAACCAGTTCTTTTTACCATGGATCCATTGCATATACATTTACACATTTACCAATGATTAAGAAAACATAGTTTAAATATTTCATGGAAATTATAAGCAAAGGAACACTTTTTTCAACTAAAGAAATCAGTGTTAAGAAAAAATATGAGTATTTACAAACATCATGGCACTCAATCGTTATCCATACATGAAACAAAGTTAATAAAAGCTTTAGATTGTGCAATAGGATACATTTAGGCAAATACTAAAAATCCTTTTAGTTGCTTTATGGAAAGTCAATAATAGAACAAATACAAGTAGCCTTGTCCCCTGGAAAAAAATTGTATAGAAATAAAAATCATTATTACTATGCTTTATTATTACAGTCTAATAATATAAGATTATTAAACTGCATACCAGTAAAAATCAAATAATAGTGTACAAATAGTTCTCTTGTATTGTAAACATTTTACATTCATCTAGTTTCGAAAAACCAGACAATTTGTATTTTAAATCCTAATAAAAACATAATTCAGTTTTGAGTTGTTAAATTGGTGGTTTTTTATACTGTACATCTCAAGACTAAACTTTAAAAACTCAAGGAGAAATCGTGGAACAACGGTTATTGATTCTTACTTAACTCCATAATCAATGATGGAATCAGGAAAGTTAAAACGAAACCTGTCACATGGCTGCGAATAATATTTTATTACATTTGTTTGGTTCAGCTGTCTGAAATAATTGTGAAATGATCAATTTTGACAGTTCTGCTTGTTTACATTGAGATGTTATAGAAAAAAAATTAGTCATGGTGGTTTTCTCATTGCATCCATCGAGAACAATCAATATTTACCTTTGGATTCCTCACCTCAGACAATGAATCCTCAGAACTTGGTCAGTATCGAAGCGTGAATTGTCCTAAACGGATCATTGGTATAGTAGTTCTATTTTGGAAGAAGCTCAATCGGTTCAGTAATGTTTACGCCAATTAGTAACACACTTACGAAAAGACACCATTAGATCTTATTAATCATATAGATTTTTTGTATACCAATAGTTTGCTTGTTTATCTACTACTGTATGGCATATTTTACTACATTCTAACCAACTTTGTGTGCCTTCTGTTTCAGCCGTGACGAGTGACGAGTGACGTGACGCGACGAGTGACAGTGACGCGAGTGACGGTGACATGACGGAGTGATCGGGAGTGAAAGTGACGTACCGTGACGCGACCATGGATTCGTCACTGGGGCGTCGCAGTGGGGGTGTGATGCGGCTGAGGAGGGAACGTCGAGGAGAAGATTGGCGGGAGTGTAGCACCAGCGAGGAGGAGCGAGAGAGAGAGGTTTATTCTGCTGGGCTGGCGTCCATCCTGGCAGGATATGCGAGTAAGTACTTCGTCGAATTGGGGACGATGAAACTGCCCCGATATTTATGGTAGGTTTTAAATGCTGAAACTGCCCCGCTCATTACAGAGCATCCATAAAGGTCACCTCGCCATACCAGAAATGCTGAAATTGCCCCGAGCACCTGGCTAGGTAGCCGCTACGGGTATGGGGAAAGGGAATTGTTGTTGTCCCTGCGTTCTGCCAGTGACTGCAGTCTTCTAATAACTACCACAAAATATCAGGAATTACTAGCTTATTTTAGGTTAGGTATTGGTACAGAAACAATTGTGGCTTGGCAGGAAAAGCAGTCTACTCCAGCTTTAGAAGACTGCAGTCACTGATAGGGCACAGGGACAAAAATAATTCCCTTTTATCCCCAGTCTTGTAGCGACTACCTGGCCGGGTGCTCGGGGCAATTTCAGCATTTCAAGTCTTGCGAGGCGACCCTTGCTAATCCTTTTTAATGAGTGGGGCAATTTCATCGTTTCAAAAGTACCCAAACCTTCGGGGCAGTTTCACTACGCCCCGTCGAATGTGATAGAAGGATGAGTAGAATGGAAGAGTACATATTTTTGCCACTGGATACAAATAACGGTTCGGTCTATGCCAAGGTCCTCCGATAGCATAATGTGGCCCAATCATCACCGAGAGCAACGAGCCCTGGCGTCGACGCGACACATTTCCTTCTCCCACGAGCATCTGCTGACTAACTGTGAAGTCACTCATGCGGATCCTTTTGTCGGCGGAGGATCTTGGCATTGTTGTGTCTCCCGGTACTCTTGGTTTTCCAGAGACCATGGTATTGAGCCTAAAGGTTCATTTTCAAGCTGTTTAAAACTACCATCCTTATCCTTTGGGTTGTAAGAAGTTGCCATACACATAAAAACATGGACATGATAACATAGAAAAAGGTTTGACAAATTATAACAAAGTACTGAAAGCGGATAATGTGGAATGCCACCAAAAATATTGAGTGACTCAATGGGCTGCGTTATTAGTCATGACAGTGCTGTAGATTTTACAGTAAAACCTCATTGATCCATCCAATCTTTCTATACAATTTTAGGAAATTTGGCACGGTAAACTTTGCAGGCATTGTAGCTAGACATCAGCACAAAACTGATGGTGTTTCAAAAATTAGAATACATTAGAAAAGCTTCTTTTAAAGGCGTTTTAATACAAACAAGGCGTATCCAAATTGTCTTGGAATACCGGTTTGTTATTCTTCATAAGACTGTTATTTCGTTTGTCTCATCTTGCATTAATTTAGATGACTTGAAGCCTAGAATATTACGAAATATTGAGGGTAGGTCTATACTGCCAGGGCGACAAATATTTGAAGCGAATTATGTATCAAACAATATTTTGTCCCTTAAGGTAATATTAAGAAACATGCGCATATACTACGGTCTATTTTGTGAAACTAGATTTTAATAAACCTTATGTAACAAGTATACGCATTACTAGGGGGTACTTGGAAGTTTTTTTTTTATATAATGGACGAGTGAATGTTTTGGTGTTGATATTCAGCCATAATAAATACCCATCTTGTGTTAAAGATTGCAAAATCATATAGTCAAGAGAATATTTGAGATGTTAATAACTCTGGATCATAATCAATAACTAAACATATTTTGTGTAAATTGTTCCAAAGTTTCTCTTATTTGAAAATCTCATTAATTTGGAATCTTTTAAAATATCCATATTCAATTGCACCAACGCATCATAACTGTACCACTTCCTTCATTATTGTTGACTATTTACTAATTAATTCCCTTAAGATAAATTATAGATTAAAGGGGGTATAGACACAGTAGGAGTAACTTTTCCTTTCATCTATGGTAAAATATAAAAATACATCGATATGCAAGGCCCTTATTGTATTACAACACCTTATAAGATATTTATTTTCGCTCTTTTGAAGGTAAAGCAATAAGCCGCTCTTACAAGCCCCCTTTATTAAAAGTAAAGATATTAAAAATATTTGTCTTGCACCTCTCTTTGTGTTTTACTCCTTCAAACTCGATTTTTTCTCAAGGATTTCCAAGTGGTGGTTCTATACTATATTAATGGTAAACGAATATTATATGTTTTTTTATTTATATAATCATGTTTCAGGAAGCAATGTTTAACTATTAAATTATTTACATCATTTTATTCAAATCTCCACCATTCGACAAGCAAGTCACACAGAAAAAAGCTTACACACTTAAACTAAACGCAATAATTAAATACTTACATGACGCAAACATGGTAATATCGAAATCGCAAAATATGGTACATTAATCACTTTAAAATACCAGAATCTTTTGTTCACGTAGATGACATGTCTACTTGCAGTATGTTAAGCCAAATGTGTATTTGGTTCAAATAAATGGAATGCCTATTTGCAGTATCCAAAATCAATGGTACGTCTGGTTCACGTGAATGTAATGTATACATTCAGTATCTAAGGCCAGTGGTATATTCGGTTCACATAAATTAAATTGCCTATTTGCAGTATCTAAAGTCAATTATGCATAAGGCTAATTGGTTGTTCATTTTATTGCAAATTATGCTCTACGGAATTGCTCAAATGTATCTTCCCTTTTGGTCTGTGTTTTAATGAGCTATGAGCTCCAATGATTTGTTGATAAACATATGTTAAGACGCTTTTGTTTACATGTAATTGTTATCTTCCAAACATAGTTATGGCGATCAATCAACCCATATGGCCCATTTTAATTTCTGAAAGTTTGAATTCATGTAGGGGGTGCACTGTAGTCCGATTTTGACCGTTTCATATACCTTCCTATAGCTATGACTATGACTGTGCAAAATATCGTGCATCATTTCAGCCATTCAGGAGGAGTATTTGTAAAACTAAAATAAGAGTGTAGTATAAGAGATTCGCTCAATTAATTAGAACGAAAGAAAATTTACTCAAAGTCAAATTAAGTTACACCTCGAGAAAATCTTACGACATAGGCTTAAGTTAATTTGTATCTATAGCCCTTTCGTGTTCCTTAAGGCAGTTAATCATGCACATGATTCGCGCCTCAGCCTCACATAACCAGCAACAGCGCGCCTTGTGGTCGACAATAACACTAACTCATGTCTACTTGTGTTAATAATTACTGGCGGGCTACATAATTGTTTCACCAAGTCAACAAGGGGCAAGACACATGGGCTACCCGAACTAGGGATAACTTGTAAAACATACATTCTGACATACGCAGCTCACACAGTCTAGTACCTATTCGATGTGTACACAAAATTGTTAATAGCAAATTTGTTCACTTTGTAAGAGTGAGTAGCTAGAACAAGTTCACAATTTTAGTAATAAAAAACAATAAATGTGTTTTTAACACCACGAAAATAAATAAAACATCTACTTTGGTAGGCATAAGTATCAAGATTATATGCTAAATAACATGGACCCCCTAGACTAACTTTCAACATTAAACTTTGTTTTGGAGTTTTTCTCTGTATTTCAACTCTTAACTTTCGAATTGTCCATACAAAAGATATGCGAATTTGGCATTTATATGTGTTGTTATAGTCTCATTGGTTAGTTCGGCAGGTAGTTATACTTTAAGCACCACTAAAATATAATAATTACATATTTAAAACTAAGGTTCATTGAAAAAGGAGAGCTGAACTATATAAGTATATATTTTTGGTGATTTGATATAACTTTGCTATTTGTAAACGAAAATCATATTTAATAACGTCATACATATCTGCAAACCATACAAATACGTTCTTATAAAACAACCCAGCTGAAATTAAATTATGAATGAAACAATATATAAATATGCCTATTCAAAATTCTAACCCTAAATAAAAGTTGTCAATAATTTTTCATCTTCCCCATAACTTATGTAAAACATACTTAGATCAAGGTAGACATAAATAAATCGTAACTGAATAAAACCCAATGACACTTTCTAAAAAAAATGTGAAAAATAAACTATCCGAAAAATACTAAGTAGAATGAATGTAACATGAACGACAACATGTACACATAACATGTAGCATGAACGAAATAACGCAAATCGATGTATCCTAACACAGTATACGTAAATAAAACAAAACCAAAACTACTCATAACTAATTTTATGAAGATTACATAAGACGCGGATCGAATATATTTTATGGTATCCAACTATGTTTATATATTTGCTGTTGTGATTCAAAGTGTCGGTGAAAGCCTAGTTTCGAGGCTGCCCGACCATAACAAGCGCCCGGACGTTGTATAAATGATTCAGCGAGAAATAAACGTCAGCCCAGGCAGTATCGCTGAGATATTTTCACTATTTTTCCGCATCTAATAAGCTAAAATTTTCTCACCTCCAGCATACTGATCGGCTGTCTTACTTTCTTAAAGTGAGCATTTCTGTTGCTTTCGGATCATCAGTTGTGCATTTTCGCAAGAATAATAGTAATTATACCTACTTCTTATCGATGCAACTTCAAAGAAATAGTAATTATTTTTCGGTCGAAAGATTTGTTTGTGCTACCATTGATATGTAATAAAGTTTAACGTAAACAAACATTTAATGTTGGATTCCCCCAGCTATTTAGTGACGACTTCAAATTATGTTTTATATTAATGTTCAGCATTTTGAAATATGATTAATCTTTGGAATTTACAAAAACACTAACTCATATTTTATGTGTTGAATTTAGATATATTTTAAAATTCTGAATCTTACCAATACTTCTGAATCTAACACCAACAGCTTAGAGACATTACTAGTGAACATTTGATTTTGTGTCTGTAATCAATGCAGGAGGAACATTTTGAAGAAAAAAAATTTTAGAGGGTATGTAATATAAAATATTTCTATGTCAGCTACAAGATTTATGTCTGGTGGAATCTTTTCCATTAAAACAAAAGATGAAAAATGTATAAATAATTGTATAATGTTTGTTTTCACTTATTCTTGTTTTAAATTTAAATTTTAAACTTTTAAAAATCTTCATGAAAATTAAGGCTAATAGAAATGTGCAAGCATTTAGTTTTGGACTATTGGGTTCGCACACTTAATACGAGTTTCTCTGAAACAACTAAAACATACCAGTAAGTCTTAAAATTGCTAGTAAAATCTGCACCTATAGTCTAAAAAACATAACGACATATCTTAAAAACATTATTTAATGAAAATCACTATAATCTTATAGAAAGCTTTGAACGAACAATGATATCTTCTCTATCAAACTCAAGGTATTTCAGAACACCTTATTATATTATACTTTAATTTAGCTTTTTGGTTGGTTTTGTCATGAAAAGCTACAGTTGATTGAAAACATTGGTAGTTCAATGCCACGGAATAACAAAGATATACTGATCCCCTAAGAGTGCTTCCCTCTCAATAAATCTGTGACCACCCTTAAAAAGGGCCACAAATGGGGCCAACTGAGAGACATCTTGTCCCTTAAAGTGACAGTTACACTTGTTTATGGCTTTGTTAAGCATGTTAATGATGCATAAATAATATAGTTTGTATGCTAAAAAGTAAAGGTAGTCCTTAAAATGTGAAAAAATGTAGCATAATACACAACAATACACTTACATCACCCGAAATAGTGTTAAACAAAATCTTATATTAAACAAAAATTAGTTGTGTCACAGATTAATATAGTTATAGTTCATATGACTTTAGTCTTATTATGTCTAAATAATTTTTTTGTGTTATAACATTATATTTTTTTTTATTCCGACCTAAATCATATTTACAAAGTAATCGTTCCTTCTGTCGGAAATATTTGGAGTTTATTCATCTTTGCACATGAAGGATGTGATGCATTACTGTATTGGTTCGGTTATCCTTTATGTATCATGTTTTAGGTACAACAAATGCATGATTTATATACGATATCTTATTATTTAATGGTCTCATTTAACGGTTTTCCAAATTCGGAAAATGTACACTATAAATAATAGTCGTATCTTTTGATTGAACAATGTCGTTTTTTTTATTAAATATATATATGGCTAAAGTAATCTTGTAATTGGTGGAATACAAACCCAAGCCCTAGAAGTTCACTAGAGCAAACACAGCTTTTTTTAGAAGTAATCATTGTATGTTACTCCTCTAACCTCTGTTCTAAATCTCTGTATGTTAACCTCTGTTCTAAATTTTACTGCATACCTCTTCATTGTATTTTATGGAAATACGAAATATGGAATATTGTTTGTAAATACCACAGTTTCTAATGCAGTTTCGATTGCGCGAAAAATTACCGATTCAAATCAACTTCAGTTTTAAACATGGTAAGACAGATTACTTAACAATTATTGTGGTTGTGACGTAAATATTAAGAGAAATAATGAGATGTAGGCCACGGAAATGTGATTGTGTCGTTTGTCTAGAGACAGCTCCGCAGAGACGCTGCTCAAGATTGAAAATGAAAATTTAATAACGGCAAAGCGAAGTGGAGCCCGTCTCGCCGAGCGGCTTTTGTTGTTACTATACATAACGTGGTGATGTGTTTATCACTGGAGAAGTGTAAACAAAGGGGTAAATGTGTGGAAAATGGCCCTTTTCAGAGGATATAAGTTCTTGTTTGGGACTTTTGAAACTAATTCGTTTTGTTTATCGGAAAAGTCACATTAGCCACTTGCAGAATAAATCAATTAAGTATTTTGGGGGTTTTATAATCTTTTGTTTGTAATAGACAAATACTCAGAACAGTTTATAATGCATTAGTGAATTCTTAGATGGAATATGGTTTAACCATATGGAGAGGAACTTATTCTATAAACTTATAAATATTATAAAATATTGAAAACACATTTTTCAGAATAATTATGCACAAGAAAAACCCCGACCACTCTTCCCCACTAGGCTATTCAATCGTTAAGGAATTAAAAACTTGTTCGTTTTTAAAGTGTAACATCTGTTTTAAAGAAGTGGAAATATTTTATAGATCTGTAAATTTACGAAAACGTTATGACATAGCAATCCCCAGACCAAACTTAACTCATTTTACAAATTTTTACTTTTACTCAGCCCCGAATTCGTTCAATAGTTTGCCTACAATAATAAAAGAATGTGAAAACAAATACATGTTTATTGGTGATTTATGGGGTTATCTTTTAGAAATAGAAAAATATTGACTTTTTCTTTTACTCTGTTGTGTAGGACCATTGACTATAATAGTCATAGGTAGGACCTAATAAAATAAATAAATAGTTTTAATAATATGCAGATACATATTATTAAAATATTTTTAAATAGTTATAAATGTTGGAAAGGTTTATAATAGTGTTTATGTTTAAGAAACAGATAATTTGCAGAAGTTTTTATGTTTCTTTTGTGTTTATAAATAAATAGAATAATATTTGACAAGTGTGCCACCCACCATTACTATTATTTAGTTTATTATATCAAAGTAGATTGTGCAAATTCACCAAATCAGATTGAACATGATGGTTATTGATTCGTGTACTGTAATTGCTGAATTTTACTGTTGTATGTAATATTGAAACAATAAAGATTTTTCTAATAATTATAATATAATATAATCGTTTAAAATATTTCCTATCGATGAAACTCTTGAACATGTAACAGTCCTTATGATTAGTATAGTGTTTTATGGTTATATTAGTCTAAAAAGTTCAACTATATGATAAACGCCAAAGAGTAAGTGGGTAGCATAGGCCTAGTATATACTACAGTTAACTAAGATTTTATTAAGTAATCAAACATAACAATATTTGGTAGGTAGTTCTTTTACGCATGGATATAACTAATGTAACGAACTAGTATCACATGAAATACACGTTATAAAAAGTTAAGGGGGATTTTGTCAAACTGGAACTGCGGTATTCCATTTTCTTAAACTGGGCCAAAACTAAACTAAGCCTTTTTTGCTTACCAAAGATCTCAAATACACTTTCATGCCAAACATCATATTACAGACTAGAGTGAAGGAGGTGTATGGTCTTTCTGGTCTCTATTGGCTCTACAGATATAAACAGCCATTGACGATTGGGTTGATCTAAGCGGCCTGCAAATCTGAGTCGGAAGTCTTGTATTCTGATCCTTTGATCAGGTGAACTCATACTGTTTACATTTAAAGACTAAACATTTTCTTTTAGCGAATTTCCCATATAGGGAATAAGCTATTACCGTAGTTCTCATGGTAAGACCTGGACCCGGGACCGATTTAACTTTTCATTTTGAGGTCCCTAGAGGCCAAAAACTCCATCCGTTCAAATTTATATATTTAATGTATATGTATATATTTATATATATATCTATACTATTATAAAAAAGAGGTGGTGTCTGTGTGTATGGGAAAAGTAAACGCGAAAACTACTGGTCGGATCGGGCTGAAATTCGGCATGATGATAGCTCATATTCCCGATTAACATATAGGCATATTTTTATCCCAAAAATCCTTCCGGGCTCCGCCCCAGTGGCTCTGGAGCAAAGGTTCCCATGTTAACCTTATGAGAAATGGAATTAATGAATCTTAACAGCTGTATCAATTAAACAAGTTGGTTCTGTTCTATGATTTTCAATAGCATTAAAGTTACAAGGATTACCAACAGGGTGCAGCACTAGCATTATTTCTTTTACATTTATGACAACAGCTAATTTGCAACCAAAAGGTGAGTGAGCGTAGCGAACGAACTTCAACCTGGAGGCGAGTGAGCGTAGCGAACGAGCTAACCTGAAGGCAAGTGAGCGTAGCGAACGAGCTAACCTGAAGGAAAGTGAGCGCAGCGAACGAGCTCCAACCTAAAGGTGAGTGAGCGTAGCGAACGAACTTCAAAAAGAACCGAAATTTCTTAAACCATGTCCTCACTCATAACTGCTATAAGCATTTGATACTTATATGCCAACCCCGTACGAAGGACGGGTACTCTGCTAGTATATATATGTATATATATTTATGTGTCCGTTAGCGCGATAACTCGAGCAAAAATGATCCGATTTTGATGAAATTTCATACAATTGTGTAAACCTACGTTTATTCGAACGAGTTCGCGATCCAGCATTATCGGACCATGGGAACGGGGGTTTATGGTGGAGGGGGGGGGTTATGGGGTAAAAATGGGTTTTCCCTTTTTTGACCCTATCAACAAAAAATTTTGCAATTTCTTTCTAAACCGAGAACTTAAAAATAAATAATTTAGTATATTGAAGCGCTGTTGTATGCATAATGGTCACGGAGAAAATTCAAAAATAGTGTAATTTAAAAGTCCCACTTATTTATGGATATATATTGATACAATTTGGCAAATTTGTTTCTTTCATCCTATACTATTGACGTATGGTAAAAAAAAAAACACTTTTTACCTTCCCCCTAGTAGCAAACCTAAGCACTCGTTAAATCTAATGTTATTTAAAAAGAAGTAAATAAGTCTTATTTATGGAAATATTTTAGTAAAAATGTAATCAGACAAGTTGAAATTAGCTTAGTCTGCAGGTTTGCTGCGGCGGTTTTATTTTAAATTTAATTCACGTTAAAGTAGGCCCCATGCTTTACCCAGTTCTCCAAATAGTCTTCTTTAACTCACCAATCCCTTGTTTTGCCTACCTGTTTAACATTACTGTTATTTTCCCAGGAGGAGAGTCCTATCTGAGCAGTGCCAGTGAAGATGTGCCGGTGGCGGAGAGGAGACCCCCAAGTGGATCAAACTCTCCCACTTTGCCTGCCCACTACCGCCACCACAGTCCTAGTAGACAGGCCTCGCCATATCCCATTGGTGCGTCAAATAAATTACAATATAAATTTATCTCTCTTCGCATAGTTAAATATATGCGCATAAATAATAGCATAAATATATGCTAAGTTGTGGCTTAAATTATATTGAACTATTTTGTAATCTCCAGGTAAGGGTTTTATTTTAATACTTTGACGTGATCGTTTTTATTAAATAAAACTGTATTAGTAATAAAATTAGTTTGGTTTCGTTTCAACAACTAATAAATATAAACATTCACTGATAAAATACACTTTAGTAACGCTTAAGACTCGTTTCACTTCATATAGAAAACATTTTTATTTACAATCCGTTATAATGATTTTAATTCTACTTATAATAAATTGAACTTTTAAATCCAACGTGAATCAGAAAAATATCTTTCTAAAGTATGAACCTATATAGTGTGCAGTGATTTGTCTTATATTTCTTCAAAAAAATTAATCCGTCTTATATTTCAAATTGCCATAGCACTATCTGAAGCTTCAGTGATATATTTTATATTAATTCACCCAAGCATGGGAGCTTTGTAATTCAACCATTTTTTCCTTTTTTCACATTCTATTTTTCCGAATCTATTTTTAGAAAGCCTACTAAATCCATGATGAATCTCTTTTATGCGTACATAAGTGTAGATAGTTCGTGAAAGAGTCATTTTTGTACCCAGAGAGGAGTTTGTTTGTTACGTGTTATAATGAGTTAAATATATCAACTTTTTAGGTGAATGTTGGAATCGTTTCCCTAAACTTTATCGAATTTACAAGGCACTATCTAGTGACGTGATTATACAGGATGTCCCTGTACTCTCTACCGACCTTTTAAGGTATCATTCCTTGACCAAAGACAAACCAAAATATCAAGTGAACAATTTCCAAAGCTCAAACATTACCCTTACAGCATCCATTTTGTTTTCCACCCATAGTATTTTAAAAATTAGTTAACTCCTTTGTTTATGAACAGATGTTCTTAAATGTGGTATTGTAAGAATTGTAAGGGGCTTTGTTTACCTGGGTAGTTTTTTTTATTTGATTTTACAGATATTTAATGGCCACCATTTTGAAACTACACATGAAAAAATAATGGTTATGCTGGTAATATTTGTTAGAAATTTTTAACATGCTATTTTAGTTTGGTATTTGGTTATAAATTGATTTATTAAACGGTAAGTAGAGAGTTCAGGGACACTCTGTAGAAATATCTCTATATACCAAGATTATAATTGTATCAGAATTCGCATACATAAATTTTACATCACAATTATGTTTGAAAGGTCCTTTAGCATTGTTTCTGGCAATATTTTTAACTAGCTGTTACCCACGGCCTTCACCCCGTTTGACATCATAAGCATTAATAAAACTATTGATTGGTTAAGTTAACCTGATATAAACAAAATACAGTAAAAGAAACAAATAATCAAACCTGATTTTAATAAGGTGATAAATTGAAGGAATAACAAACAAATAAGTACAGCTGAGGTACTTTTAACATTAGGAATATAAAAAGTTCCCTTTACTAAGGAATTACGGCCTTAAAGGGCAATTTTTGAAATAATCGATAGTTTTGCGCAAGGTTTCTCGTCATGACGAACATTTTAAGTATATGGTTTATGGGGGTGTGACTTGTAGTGTTCTCAAAAGTTCATGGGTACTTTTGGCTTTATTTATAGATAAGCAAATCTGTTGCAGAATCAACAAACCTAACGTCGGGCACGTCAACTCCGGTGAACCCTAGTCTGAGTCCTAGGTTTGCGGGAGGGAGAGCTCAGGGGTACAAGAAGTCCTCTTCTCTGACCGGAGTAGTGGTGGGTGGCAAGAACAGCACAGGCACTCTAGGCAGCAGGAGAAAACATGTGACGTCATCGTCCAGTATGACGTCATCCGCCAGCTCTGACAACTGCTGTCACAGTGACGTCACATATCCCGAGGTCGACCGAAGGAAAGACCTTGTTGAAGGTAAGAATATTTTTCTTATCCAATTTAAATTGCAGTAGAGTCTCGATTATCTCACCTAAAGTGGCCATATAAGGTAAAAAATACCCCCGCCGCAGCAAACCTGCCGACTAAGCGAATTTCCATTTGTCTGAATTGATTTTCAATTAAATATATTTAAATAGCATTAGGTTTAACGAGTACCTAGGTTTGCTGCTACAAGGAAACTAATAAAGGGTGTTTTTAGTAAAACATTGATAGCTTGATAGCTTAGTATAAAATAAATAAATACAAGTTTGATCAAAATATATCCATAAACAAGCAAACTACAACATTTTACAATATTTTCCATAAGAATAACATAAGAAATTTAAATTTAAATTTTTTTGAATTTTCACCGTTACCAATAACCGTACAAAAACATCTTGATATACTAAATTATTAGTTTTTAAGCTTTTTTTTAAAAGGTCTAGAGAGAATTTGGGAAATTTTATGGGTTGAGGGTCAAAAATGAGAAACCTATAAAAACCCCCGTAAAACTTCGTTCCCATGGCCCGATCATGCTGGTTCGCGAACTCATTCAAGTTTTTCCCGCCTTACACCTTTAAACCAAATTTCACTAAAATCAGACAAAATGACTCAAGTTATAGCGTTCATGGACGTATATACAGGGTGGAATAAAGTCTGAAGACAGTTAAATATTTTCTAAACGACAACAGATAAATCAATAAGATTTGGTATATCAACACCACACCTAAAAATCTACTTTTTTAGGAAATATCAATTTTCTGTCGTATCATGGGGACGTCCCGCAAGGAATCAGAAGGAAATCTGAAATAGAAGGTTGACATGTACATAAAATTAAAGGTCTTTACTATCAGAATATAATGCCGCAAATTTGAATTCAAACGGACAACCGAGCCAAGAGTGACAGTTGTTAAAAGATTCCTTTAATTTGCATTGCCATTATACGCTTACTCCTCAAGGGGCACAGCCCTAGGAATTGTAAGAAAATTGTTAACATTATAGGTCGATATGCACATCAAATTAAAAGTCTTCACTAGTAGATTACATTGCCGTAAATTCAAGCTCAAAAGAACGCCTGAGTAAAAAATGGCAGTGGTTCAAATATTCAAAATGGCAGATTCAAGAAATCTTTGAGCGGCTGCCATTTTGCGCAGGATCAACCTTTTGAAGTGCGGTTTGCGGCATTGTATTCTACTAAAAATGACCTTTCATTTGTTTTGCATATTGACCTATGCTTCCGCTTGAGATTTTCTTCCGACTCCTTGTGGGCCGTCCCCCTGAAGAGTTATTTGATAACTGAATGTGTGTTAAAATAAAGTGTTATGCTCTGTAACTTTTTACCAAGTATTGTATCTCTATCTACATTATTTTTAAAATATTTAACTGTCTTCGGACTTTATTACTGTACCACCCTGTATATTCATATGATGACTTTTATAGCTTTTTGCAAGAAATCAAAATTTTTCCCCCCTCCCCCAGGGTAGGTAGGGGGCAACTAAAAATATTCAAATATAAAGACACATGTAGTGACCCCTCATTTTAAAGGTATTAATTTGTAGAATACAGTGCCGCAAATTTGAACTCAAGCGGATAACCGAGTCGAACATGGCGCCCGTTCATAGATATCTCGAATCTGCCATTTTGAATCTTTGAACGGCTCTAATGTTTTCTTCATTGTTCTTTTGAGAGAACATTTGTGACATTGTATTCCGCTAAGTAAGACCTTTAATTTGAAGTGCGTATTGACGTATCCATGTGTTTATATTTTCAACACATATGCTTATTAAGCTAAGTGGTGGCCCGCTATAAGTCGGGAGAAAATCATAAACGTATGGATAGGTCAATATACACATCATATTAAATGTCTTAATTAGTAGAATTTAATGTCACAAATTAATTTAAACTCAAAATAACAACTGAAAAAAATTGAAGCTTTTCAAAGATTCAAAATGACAGATTCAAGATACCTATCTTTGAACGGCTGCCATTTCCTACTCGGTTATCTGTTTGAGTTTAAATTTCCGGCATTGTATTCTACTAATTAAGACTTTAAAATGAGGGGTTACAACATGGGTCTTTATATTTGAAAATGTTTAGTTGCCCCCTATCTACCCTTAAAAGGGGAAAGGGGGCAAAATTTTGATTTCTTGCAAAAAGCAAGAAAAGTCATCATATTGTGCAGTTGTGAACATTCGTATAAAAGTAGGCATATTTTAAACTATTTCCTGACTGCTTTCTGTAACTGATACATAGAAGTCAATCGACTCATTTGTATCCATCTTCCATTTAACTTATTTTAAATTCTCAACTCTGAATAATGCTTGTTTAGACTGTTAGACCTTACAAAAAAATAACATTTTAGAATAATTTACCGATACCGGTTTTCCGAGTTTCTGAGTAAAGGGAGGTAGAAAACGAGGGCTCATTAGGGAGAAAGCACAGCCCTCATCATTTTTGAACATGAGCTGAGATTGCCTCTGGCCTGGAATTTAAAGATAAGACCTCTGAATTATTTATATCAATAGCAACACAAGGTACGCTTTGGTGTCTTTTATATTATTTACAAATAAGTACTCAAAACTATTGTTACTACGTCATCAGGCATATTGAGATATTATTTATTGAGATAGTGCCAGGCTCGGCCATTAACTGAAATGTATATGATTTTGAAATTCATCCGGGAATGGACGATATTGGGGATATGATTACAGGGGTTTACATACACTTTGAGCAGAAGAAGACTTTCCAAGAAGGTTGGAAAATTAATTTTCTACAATTGTATCTGAATTTATTATTAATAAACACAAATTAAGAAATAATTCATTTGACTTAATTTAATTCAGTAAAAAAAAAAAAATGCTAAGAAGATTACAAGTGGCATAGACTCATAAACGTTTGCATTAAAGCTTGATATAATGATTCAAAAGCTAAACACGCAAAACGTTTAACTTTAAAAATATACTTTGTCAATAATTGTGTATGGCTATTCAACTGTAAATTATGAATATTGATGTTAATTGTAGAAACATAGAGTTCGTAAATATTACATTTAATAAAACAAATATAAATGTTTTATTAATATGAAAAAATGTGTATATTCCATAATTTTGAGAAAATAACAGACTCGGGAAATATCTACCTGTAATTCTGCTGCGTTGCTTCAAAAACACATTTTTGGCTAATCGGTTTGTTCTTTAAATAATTAACCTGATTAATTTATCGATTTGAAGGTCACTGCAGGAAAGAAAAACCGTCTTGCGATGACAATTAAGGTTATTACATTTAACTAATAAATAACGTGGTACGTATTGTATTTCACATTTCATTTTTCACAGCTATTTCCCTTAGTGAATAAATATGATAATAGTTGTATCAGTTATTGTAAATACGTAGGGTGAAACTCCCATTACTTTAAAGTAACGGTCGTCACGGCAGCTCAGTAGGCTACTGTTCAGTCCCCAACTTTGGCCACATTTTGTGATAACTGTGTTGAATTATGTATTATTGTTGATAAAAGAGTGGGCCTTTCCACATACAGTTTATGTGGATGTTTTCATACTTTGTAGTGTAACGAAATTAATGATTAACAAATCTTGACTTGTAGATTAAGTTACCGGTATACGAAAGAAGGGAAATTTATAGTCACCGGTAAAAGTTAGTAGAGAGCCTGAGCTTTACAATTATGTAAAGTAACTTCTCAATCAGCATTGTACGTGTTATTAAATTTACGGAAAGTAAATAAAAGAAACGTCTTATAACACTAAAAATTTATAAGGCGTTTCTTTTATTTACCTTCCGTAATAATGTAAAGTATACTCATGGGAACTTAATCTTAATAATATGCGCATGGGAAGGTGGCATGGGTTTAAGATGTTTAAGAAAATTAATAGGTTCCTGATATTTTGCATTGGGTAGGCTTTGTATTGTAAACAAAGTGATCGAAATCTAAAGGTTAAAGTTGTTGAAAAATTACTAATTTATTATGTCTCATCTATTATAATTATAATAACAGCAGATTACAAAATTTAACTCTTAAATTGATTGAAAATTATAATTTGGAATGCCTATATATTATTTATGGTCATAAAAAGGGGTACGAAGACCCCCTTTTATATTTAATTAATACATAATTATATTTTTTCATTTAATGAGTCTAAACATTACTGTTGTATCATTGAGGTCACTAGATATTTTAATATGGATATTTAAATAATATACCATATATTAAGATATTTATATGATAAGCCAAATAATTAACATTTTAAAAAGCTATTTATTTCACATGAAAAGATGTTAGCTAAGTTTTCATGTCGCAACGTGTGTCATGTCCAATATAGCAGAGTTTCAGAGTTGGCTTGGCAATAGTTACTCTGACTTTGACACATCAGGACAACTTTTACCTAAGCCTATTTAGTGTTCATATCAGCATAATGGGTTCAACTATAGGTATCCTACGGGAATAGACGCGACTAATCCAGTTGTTCACTTGCTGGACATATTCTTTGCAATACGATTTTTAATCATTCACATGAAAACCACTAGATATTGTTTTTAAAATTGTAATTCGGTATGCTATATTGTTTCGGTCGGGGGCTGCTGATCGGTTGCCCTAGAAATATATATTTAAGTCCCGTGTTAAATGCCATGTTGGTTTGGAGCCTAATTTCAGCGGAAGGTCCAACAATCTAGACTATAAAAATACCCCCGCCACAGCAAATCTGCTGACTAAGCGAATTTCCATCTACCTGTCTGGAATTTCACTAAATTATTCCCTTAAAATTGTCAAATTTATTTCCTATTTAAATATAATTAATTTTGATGAGTACTTAGATGTGCTGCTACAGTGAAGAAAATATGGGGGTTTTTAATTGAAATATTGATAGCTTAGTATAAAGTTACCAAAATTTCAAAATTGTATTAAAATATGACCATAGACAAGAAAACAGTTTATTTATTCTCCATAAGAATAACATGGTAATTGTAAATTTACACTTTTT